GATTTTGGGGGGTTTATATTTGGAGGGGCTTATACATGGAGGGGATTATTTTCGGAATTTTACGGTATTCTCGGGGGTAGAAGCGGAATCATTTAAATCTTGATATTCATGATTCCTGTCGTTTTTTACCTCAATGATTCATGATTTTCTTCCAGATTCATGATCCACGAAGACTTTTGATCACCTATTCATTTATATTATGTTCTCATTGGCTACCTAACTCACGGTAAAACGGGCAACAAAAAGCGGGCAATTTGTTTTGCAACATGGCTGCAAAATGAGTTGAATAGTCAGTGATGTTGCCCGTTTTACTGCAGCTTAAGTCTTGTTTTGTATAGTTTCTTTGGTATTCAAACTTCTGTTTTCATCCAGAATAATGTAGATTTTGGACCACTGTTTCTCGGTATCATCATTCATTTTGTCCAGGTATGGAGTTTTTTGTAACCGAACATTGAGCACTAGTGTCACTGGAGAAACAAGTGTACTGTCAGCCCCGAATGCACGAATTATATAGGTGGGTTCGGGGGCATGCTCCCCCGGAAAAAAAAAATTGAAAATTGGACTCTCGGAAATGACATATCCTGCATTCCCTGGATTGAACGATTGTTATTCATAATTCCCGTGCGCTGTTTTCAAAGCCATTTCAAAGTCAAGCAAATTGTAAGCTATTCCACGTGAAGTCACTCCTCATCTTCAGCCAATCAGAGTACTTTTTAACCGTGCAATTCAGCTTTGAGTATGCAATTCTGTTAATATTACTTGCACGGCCATCGTATTTCAAGCAGTGCTTAATATTGCAGTAACACAAAATCCATTAGTACGCGCACGTCGCCCAAAGCCGCCCAGAAAATTGTAACCCTCCCCTAAATGCGGGCCCAGAAAATTTTAGCCCTCCCCAAATGGACACCCCAAAAAACGGAGCCCTCCCCCAAAATTTACCAGCCCTCTCCCCCCCCAATAGTTAATGGCCACTCCGTAAATATGCTCTTTCCAGCTTGTCCTAACAAAATCTTTGTTGGTCACGTGATCAAGTCATGTCGGACATCCGTCGGGGCATTTCATTTGGCATACATACAGGCGATTCCTGATGCTAGGTGATGGCCGGATGGCGGTTTCGGTCTCATTCGGGCGGTGTTGATTCTATGAGTCAGATTAAAGAAGATATCACTGGAAGAACGTCGAAAGAAAGATACGAACAGCTAGTCTTGGAGCTGTAGCAGGGTAAGAATAGCCTTTTTTTGTTCCTTAAGGTATCCTCATACCAATTAAATCTGCAGGAAAATTTGTTGATCTGTAATGAGACCAGGACTGTCTCTTCACAAATAGCTTGCTTACAGGTTTGATGCTGCCTTAACCTGTAAAGAAGTCCAAGAAAAATTATTTCTACCTAAAATGTTTGTGAACTGTCCTTTATAGTAACTGTATATATAACATTAACCAGCAGTAACCGAGATGAATTAGTGTAAATATTAATGTTCATGAAGATCGACTCAATGTACTTCCGGCTTTGATTCAAGGGGTCCACTTTAGAAAAAAACGGCTTTGTTATTATTTAACTGATTCACCTACTGTTGAAGGGAAGGTTTATCTTGTGAGTTGCCCCTATTGAAAAGTTATTTCATGTAATGTCTAATGCCATAAGTTTGGATAATCAAACATTTCTTTCTTAGTTGATGGATTCTTTCATTAACGTTTTTTCAGCTCCAAAAGTTTCATTTGTTTCTTTATTTCTCTTTCATTTCCCAAACAATATGGTAGGAAGGGGGGGGGGGGTGAGGCCCCAGCTGGAGGCGACAGTCTTTTGGGAGGGGCAACCTGTAGGAGGTCAGTTGACCCTAGTATTTTTGTTTAAAAAAACAATTTAACCCAGCTGATGCATGCTTTTAGTAAAAGATCAATTCATTCATTATTATTTGTCAACATGTACATGCCAACTTACCTACCACCATTTTAACTCTTGTACTGCTCAACAACTCCTGGTTGTTCAAAAGATGGATTACTAAGCTATTCACCAGATTGAGTGGATATTTATTAGGAAAACTAATTGCACTATCCACTGAATAATGAACTCTCTCTGGATGGATATAAGGTTATCCATCTTTTGAACAACTGGCACCTGCAGTAAACAATAATGGAACATCACACATGGAAATAGAGGTGTGTACTTCAGGTGGTTACACCTTGTATAGTATATAAGTGTATGAATCCACCTTTTGAACACCCTTTGGTTTCCTTAAACATTAATATCTACTGGTTCTCTGAATTTTTATCCGATTGCTTCGAGTCGTTTTCTTCTCTCAGCCATGTCTGAATCGACCAGCTGTAAATGCCGTCCAGTGATGTCACTACTATAATGATGGGAAATTTTTGCGAGATTGTCGCTTGACATTCTGCGGATTGCATTGGTGGCATGCTTGCGTGGAGTTCAAACATTTTAGATAATATTAATGGTAAACACCAAAATTGCCCTTGTCTTCGAAACTGAATTGCTAAGTTGAACTGCGAATAAAGAATCATTGCGAAGAGTTGGTAGGTTTTTCATTTAGAGCTGCTTTGTGGTTTCCGCAGTGATTTTGTTAATGCGAAGTTTCTGAGACCAATGTCATGTTGTCATTCAACCTTCTTGCTATTTACCGTCAAGTGTAATGATTCTGTTAGCTTTTCTTTCTTGTTTCCTTGTTTTCTTTTTTCTGCGTTAAGGACCAAATAGCATCTTTTCAATTAAAGGAAATTGTTGTGTTTTTGAACTAGGGGTTCCGTACATGTGTATTTGTTTCATTGGGTGATTGCGACCGAGTTTGAATTACAACTGGTTCAGAGTACTGCACGCAGTTGATAGTTTGAACATTTAACATAAATTGCAATCGAAAAGGGTAAAGCAATTCTGTCAGCTGTTCTGAATTATGTACACATTTCAAATTAAATTAATGATATTTCTTGGTTTGCCACTTGAAAATTGTGTTTTACTTTTTGCATGAATTAAAGCAAAGGAGTATAGTGACATCACTGGACAGCATTAACGGCCGGTCGATTGAGATGTTGCTGAGAGAGTAATGACTGGAAGTAATTGGATGAAATTGAGATTAATCTACTGGATGGTTGCATTTATTTGGTGTATAACTGACTATCAGACAGGTCTTTGAACTACTGTGGTGTACAGCTTGTTACAAGTAACTTGTTACTCAGTAATTCCGAGAAAAAAAAAACAGCTGGAAATCCTGACCTGTTTGATTGCTCTGATTATTTTTATTAAGAGACTAATCTAGAGTTATCATAATTATTCCATTAATTTCATTTGCTGTATAGAAATGTACCTGTACCTGTTACTTAAGGCAGAAGGGAACTGGGAAGTAATCTTATGTTTTGATGATTGATCGTGTTAAATAAATGACATCTTTCGATCAGCTTCGATTATGATGGAAGTTTTTGTCTTAGAGAAAGATCATATAATGCCGGAGTTAAGGACGACCCTACATGTGGATGATATTTAATTAGCTCTGTCAGTTATCTGTCTTGATAATTATTAGAATTTATTATTAAAAGATAACACGACCTCTGCTTAATTACGGCACTGACAGCAGAGAGCCACATGTTATCTGATAATGTGTGGCCGGCAGTGTGATTGCACTTTGAAAGCAATGATAACCAGATTCTGCTAAACATCGAATGTTCAGAATTAAAAAAAATTGGTTGACTTTGTGATGAAAGTCACAGCTACATCAAGTATTAGGACTAATTGTTACTACTAGGAAAGTCATTTTAATTTCTTATTTTTCCCTTCATCAGCCATGGCTGCCTCATCCAGCCAGCCTGAGACTATGAAAGCAGAATGCAGTCTGGACAATCCAAAGGTTCGTTCCTTCTTTCTTAATTCTTTTTACAATTGGCTTCATTTTAATCCTATTATACTATATATGTAGTGTCATTTCATGGCCTTTGAAGAGAACTTTATCATTATTTGGTTATGTGTCCCAAAAATAAACATTGAAAGTTGCCAGATGCTGTGTAAAAACTGCTTTCATCAAGAAAACAGAAAACTATGATGGTGTGATTTTGTCCTTTGGGTACATGGGTGTGGTGAAAATCGGGAATGGTGGACATTACATTTGGGGCATTTATTTGTTTGATTAATAATATAAAATTTGAGAATATTATTTTGTGGATATGCCTGATTAATTCCTATTTGATTGAAGGGGTTTGTTTCTAAAGACACTGTAATATGCGTTACTGTGGTAGGGAAATTGGAGTGAAAAAGTGGCTATTCTATCCCTGTCAACTTATATATGTATATTAACCCATTCGCCCCTGAACCGCCCGTAACCGCCCGTGCAGATCCACGTCCTTTCTACCCTTTGTGACGTCATCAGTTTTAACGGTCAAGGACAACGTTGCCCGCTAACTTGTGTAGAGTGAAGAGATCTTTCAAACCATACCAGAATGAGCACAATTCAGTCAAGGACACCGGAGAAAGAGGCAAAAAACCATGTAACATTGACCTGAAAATCTCCATGAAAATCTTGTTCCATTGCCCACCTACCTTTTCTTCCACCTAATCCTAAGATCCTAAAAGCTTTCCTAAAAACTATTCCCACCAAAATGAAGCCTACTAAATGCCCAGCAAGAGAAAAAAAAAGTGAGGCAAGAAAAGCGAAAAAAGAGGGGAGGAGAGAAAGCGAAAAGTAAAAGTCAAGACTGCTGTGTCACTTTTTTGCTTTTGCTTTCTGCGCATGCCCGAACTTCGCAAGCTGATATTTTGCATCTGGATCAGAAGGCCATGAAGTGTACCACCTGTAAAGCGGTTTGTGGTAAGTTTTAGCTCTTTATAGCGCGACAGTGACCAGAAAACCACTCGACTAGCTTCAAAACGCGTTTTTCGGCAAAATCTCCAGGAGCGAATGGGTTAACAGTTGACAGTTACTAAATCAGCTATGTCTTTTGGTCTTGTATCTCCTAACTATTCAATTTTATTGCTATTGTTTTTGTAGGCTTGCCATTCTGAGACCAGTGATCCAGTGTTGCATGTTACTCTTCTTGGTGGTGAGTGGAGTTCATCTGCTGGTGGGTTGTCAACAATAAACAGAGAGCTTGCTATTCACCTTTCAAATCATTCAGCGCTGAAAGTTTCTTTGTTAGTCCCCGAGGGAGCTTGCAATCATGAAGAAAAAAATGAAGCGCATACCTATGGAATCACTATTGTTGAGGCGAAGAGACTTGCAGCATTTGATCGTCTTCTCTGGTTAAGCTCACCACCCAAGGATCATGTTATGCACATCGTTGTTGGTCATGGTGTAAAACTTGGTCGGCAAGTTCAATTCATTAGAGACTCTGCTCAATTTCCAAATTGTAAGTGGGTACAAGTGGTGCACACTGCTCCAGAGGACTTAAGCAAGTACAAATGCTACAGTGACCCCATTTCAAAAGGTGAAACAAAACACGAATCAGAAGTTGAACTTTGCAAACTTGCTGACCTTGTTGTGCCCGTGGGACCCAAACTGAAAGAAGCATACACTTCATATTTACAGCGATGCAAGACAGATCAAGACGTTTTATCTATTACTCCAGGCCTTTTTCAAAGGGAGTTTGGGGATTTAGTTGCAAAACAAGATCCTAACGAGGATGGTGAATTCAAGGTGTTGCTATTTGGTCGTGGGGATGATGAGGACTTTGAACTCAAAGGATACAACATTGCTGCTCAAGCATTTACTGATCAGCGGTTAAAAAACAAACCCTATCATCTAATCTTTGTCGGAGCACCTGAAGGAAAACAAGAGGAAGTTAGAGAAAAACTTCTTCATCATGGCATTGCAGAAGCACAGTTGACTGTTAGAAAATTTATACAAAGTAGAGAGAGACTGAAAGATCTGTTGTGTGAAGCTGACCTTGCCATTATGCCATCAAAATCAGAGGGATTTGGACTTGTTGCCCTTGAATCCCTATCTGCAGGCCTACCCATTCTTGTTGGTAGTAAGTCGGGATTTGCCAAAGCATTAGAGAATGTTCTTCATGGTTATTCATGCATTGTAAATTCAGATGATCCTACAAAATGGGCAGAAGCAATTGAAGCTGTTCGTGTCAGGCATCGAATGCGCCTTGAAGAGATTAAAGCACTTAAAGCATCTTATGGAGAGATGTACAGTTGGGAGGAACAATGCGAAGCTCTCGTGGAGAGAATGTGGAAAATGGTCCATGGTGAGAGGTTTCGCTGTAAAAGGAGTAAATGACAAAGCAAAATGATGAATATGAGTAATACAGTCGACTCCCGATAACTCGAACCCTCGCTAACTCGAACCAAAATCGATTTCGCCTGGATTTCCGTCTTACATTCACTGTAATTTTACCCTCGGTAACTCGAACGCTCGATAACTCGAACTCCCGCTAACTCGAACCAATTTTCGTTTACCGTCATTTCATTTTCTATATAATTTTACCCTCGAAAACTCGAACCATGTTTTGAGCCCTTAAAAAAAGTCGGGAAAAATGCCGTTTACTGGCGTCCGAAACATTGAATTTTGGCTTTCCTATTGACGTGTTGTAGGAGTATAGTTTACCAGTGGAGGCTAATGTTGATTGTCACAGCCTAACGTGAAGCAGCTTTTCTTCTCAAAACAGTAAAACGCATGCTCTATTTAGGCTATGTTTTGTTACGTTAAGTTGTGATTCATAATCTAAAACTATCTTTTCATTTTCACTTGACATTTCTACAATGAAATGTGATTAAAATGTTCACTGTGCAGTGAAAACTCTTTTTTACCTTACTCTCGGCTATTTTCTTCGAACTCCCGATTACCCGAAACTCTTTGCGATTTCCCTGGAAGGTTCGAGTTATCGGGAGTCGACTGTAGTTACAAAATGCTATTGACCTGTTCCTAGGAAAAAGCCCATAAGGCATGAGAAAAGTACTGTACACATGCAGTTTTGACTTTTACCTACATGTTGAGAACATATTTTAATTATTGTAATTGGGCACTGCACAATCAGCTTTCCTGAAATATTTTAGATGTTTATGGTATTCTTGGCTCGATTGGCAGCGATTACTTACCGAGTGATTTTGTTTTTTCCGGTAATTTCCTATTCTAGTAGTGTTGATGTAAAGAAGTTAACTGTGACTGCAGTCTTTGACTGTTATAAAAAATTACACACCCTTTTGAAGTAAATAATTCATTCATAGTAGGCATTAACAGTAGTATTACAGCATGGACCGAGTGGAAAATGTGTTTGACCATTTGAGGTACTGTGTGTAAATTAAAATAAGTGATAAATGTGAATGTCCTATCATGAAAAATATAGATAGCTGAAGCAGTACAAAGTAAACAGTCCACTGGATAGGGCAATGATATGCAATCCTAACGCACTTTCCATCGCAGCACACCAAGTAGATATTTTGTATTTAATAGTTTTCTATAAATACAACTCTACACGCTATTAACTTTCTCTTCAGCGCAAAGGGACCTTCGTTGTTTTCCCCTCACAATGAAACTATAACGTTATAACCAACCAACAGGGTCTGAAAATGGCAACAAGCCAAGAAATGAAGAAACTTTCCGTGCCGAGAAGAGAGCTCATTTTGCGGCAGGAAGTCAACCTAAAAGTGGCTGTAAGCTTATTCCAGGTATGGAAAAACATTATCCGCTTCCTCTTGCTTATGGCTTCTGGTATGAGCGAAGGTTGGGGTGAGAGGTCCCTTTTTGGTCACTGAGGAGTGTCTACCGTATAATTTGTAGTAGTGAAAAAACCATACTGCCCACTCACTGAACGTGAACAGACTGTATTTATGTGTCACATCTTCTAAGTTGACTAAAAGTAGCTTACTAACCGACGTACTGTAATGTTATTTGAATCAGTTCAGCATTTTACTTAGTGTGGCAAGAAAATACACAAAAAGAGAACTTATTAGGATTCTGCCTACATGTTGACATTTCTCAGTAGGTTTATCTTTACCTCCAGACATTGGTACCATGAAGGCATCGTTATCCAGACCTGAGTAAAGAGTACAGCAGGACATAATAATTCGTTAAATTTTAAACAAGACAAATACAATTTTGCACTAAATATTGCACGCTTTCAACTGCCGACGGAATGTCTGCTCTGATTAAACATATACAGGATACGTACAACTTGGACTTGAAATCTGTGGGTATCAGATTTCTTGAAATTAAATTTCAGCATCCCTCCCTCGAGAGGATAGAGGACTATCGATCTGGTCACCTTAATGACATTGCTGAGAGATACCATGTGTCTCAGACGAGAACAAAAGTGTGCAAGTCTTTAACAGAACTGCTACCCTTTATACCACTCATATTTAACAATTTGCTAGTGAATGACTCAAATCTGGGAACCCGGTTAATACACAAACTAAGTAGACTAAAATAAGTTTTGTCAACATTTTTATTTAGTTTCTTAAATAAAAGGCTTATCGTTTCTCGGCGACTTACTTTTTGTTTTCAGATATAATTACCAAGCACTGTTTTCAAGAACTGAATGATGAACAGAGTAAAATAGTCCGTGAAACTCTAGAACGACAAATTCAAGTGTACATCCGATTTCGTAACATTTCAACCGCCGAGGGGGTGTCTGGCCTGATAGAACATATACAGGAGACGTACAACCTGGCGTTGAAATCTGTGGGCGTAGGATCTCTAGAAATAACATTTCAGTGCCCCTCCCTGGAGAGTCTTGAACGTTTGTGGAGTGATTATCAGTCTGGTCACCTTAATGACGTTGCTGAGAGATACCTTGTGACAGATGACATAAAGAAGAAACTGGACTTGAAGAATGTCAGGTTGAAGACAACGATTGAAGATGAAAACTACCGGATTTGCAAGAATATTTTAATGGAAAAATCATGTGAGTTTGGAAGCTCTTTGTAAGCTATTGACTGTCTGCAGTTTAGGCTCAAACAATTGAAAGCTGAAATCGAATCCAAAAAAAGTGATTAATACCGTTTGCTTACGTTCGGCCAACATTGACTGGTTATCTTTTCTGGTGCAAACCTATTACGTTGCTCCTTGTTTCTTACGACATTGTTACATTTTCACTGCAGCAATCGTGGTACATTATGTAACGATGGTCAGCTTATCGAGCGCATATAGTTACTTTCCTAAAAACGTTTTCGCAAACAGACCAAAAAAATGATAGTGCATTAAAACAATTAATCGACATCAATAAGCTTTTCATAACAGAAGTAAAATAGATATATCGTGGTCATTAAATGAGTAGTATTTAAAGGTGTCTCTTTGTTGAAGTTTTACTGTTTACAAGCAGTGCAGTAATTCATCAGCCTGTGTACAGCCCCCGTCTCCTCAGGAAAAAATTGGAGCTTTCCTGATTTTTTCCTGAGGGTAGAGGGTGGCTGTACACAGGCTATAAATTTATTTTCGTGGACAGTACACTCACAACAGATGAACTTAATGCATATTTGTTATCTCATTCCCTGTTAGCAGTAAGCAGTGACTTTTCTCCTTCAACTGAATCAGATCAAGAAGCAGCTTTACTAGCGGCTGACACAAGCTCAGATGTTTCTAAGGTAGGCCGCTTTGTACTTGTGATTAAACATGAAACAGGTGAAGATCAAGATGAAAAAGAAATCATGCGAGGGGCGAGTCCAGGCCGTTTCTTAAACAACAGTTACATAAGTCAGCTGATGAAGAGATTTCGGTCGGTCCTTGATTTAAGTGCATTGTGTGGGGTCGCACTCGGCATTTTAATGACTGTCCAGTCAATCCTGTAGAAACAATAACTTTTAATTAGTTGGAATTCAGTGTACGTTGATATTATGACAAGATTAATTTAGAGGCAAGTAGTTGCGTTCGACGTTAGGAGAACGCTTCGTAATCTTTGGGGATCCTGTGGTCGATGGGATACCTGTGCATGCCAGGCGTGAAGATTCGAGATTTTTGGTTACTTGGACGGGCGATGTTCAAAATCTGCGCCATTTTGAATAATTATTAAGCGCGCGCACGAATTTTAAGCCCAATAGCCGGCCAAAGAAATTGCGGGCTCACCTGGTGGACATGCGCACACAACTATTTTTTACGTCATAAGCAATTGTCATATGGCAATCACGTGCATCACTGGTTCCATCAAGGTCAACTAGATGATTACACGGGAATATTTGAGTTCGGCAAAAGAATGAACTTTGGAGTTGTTTTCTAAGCGGGTTTTATCACTGAGCTGATGATTCTGCTAAACTTTTCGGTCAATGCCGTTCAAATCGAGCTGGAACTTCGTAGAAACACACAAATAAAGACCAGGTAACATTTGTGCCGTGAGAAGTTTACCCGTGCGTTTGAGTCTATTTACATATTTGTAGTTTAACCTCTTTCATGCACGAAAAAGTAAGCTTGAGCGTATCAGTGCAGTTTGTTACAACTGTAATGCTTTATTCACGTCTGATATCTCTACGCGGGTAATTTTGCATGATAAGTATCTCGCTCGCTGAAGTAAGCTAAGTTTAAAACATGTTGAACTGACCTACATGAACGTAAAATAATCATGAGATGAAAAGTTTGCACAATGGCAAAAGATTCTGTCCGGTTCTCTGACATCAGTAATCTAGCAGAAACCTAATATGTTTCCGTCGCTCCTATGATCATTGATTTCACTTCAAGTTGTGTCACGCAAGAAGCCAAGACTTTTAACCTTCAAGGCTACCATTTTTTCGAAGTTTGTAGTGACATGTTTATCTTTTTAACAACAAAGAACTTTTTACGATCTACTTTACATTTTTATCGACCATGCTTGAGGGAGAGTAAGACATTTTAAGAGTAGAGAGTTAATGAGTGAGATATTTTGAAGCCGTATACGCGAAGAACATTTTTTACGAAAAGAATGTTTACCTTTTAATTCATGATCTCTTCCATGATTTTGAAATCAAGCTTGACGACACAAAAGCTAATCTGGAGCTAAGAAAACTCGAACGCACTTATTGATCTATGATTACTACTAGTATAGTCTTCTTAAAGTGTCTCGACCCAGTTATTTTGTGAGGGTACCATCCTACTTTGAAGCTCTCTGGTATTCCCACCTTTACTTTTATCGCAAGTCTAACACATAGAATGGATAACATATAGATCAATCTACAATATAACATAAAATTTTTGGCGATCGGAGTGAATGTCACTTGGTTATAGTGCCACGCCTCTTTGGGGTCTTAGTCGAAATTGTGCTGTTGCCGGCATTTTTTCTTGAAAACATGTAGTTCGCATTAGTACCTTGCGTTGACCAGAGTTTCACCAAAATCACAAAGACCCAATGCGAGAAATTCAGCTGTTTCCAAATTTAGGTCATAATTTATGTGAAAATGATAAGCAAACTTTACACGATTATATCTAATAAACTATGAGATTTATTCCTTTATTTTGAGGATCTTTATAACAGATGGGTCCTTGTAAGTCAGCAAAAAGCTTTAGGGCCTTGCAAATGCGCGCGATTTCGAGAAATGCAAACATATAGAAATTATAGTTTTAGCTATTTGTTGACGTTTGTCAGCGTTTAAGAGTCCTTCTCACGAAAAAAGCATTTTCTTAAAAAACTCGTAGTTTTTTTTTCCTTAAAATTTTTTCAGGGCCACAATTGATTAACTAACTACCCAGATTCTGAATTTCATGGTCATTGAAAAACTGTGACATTATCTTCTTAAAAACTGATTTTTATGCCACTCCTATGTGTAAGGTGTGTGAATACACTAAGAAATGTTATGGCAGTAATAAGTGAATCTTTCTTTTACAAATTCAAGTGCTCCGCCATAAAGAACTTTCAGTTTCAATAATCTGTTCATGTTGTCCTTCAGCAGCAAAATTGAAAAATATAAAACTGTTCTAGTGAGGCCATAAACTGCTGTTTAAAAAGTAAAATCCAAAATCCAAGCTTTCGCCGATCAACGGCATCATCGGGGATGAGAAAATGTTCTGCGCGCTATATTTATGCGAAGTTCAAAAGGTGTATGGTGAAATGTGTAAAAGATGTGACTTATGTATGAAAGCTATAGATATATACTGTGAATGGAATGCAACGCTCTAATGACGGAATGTGTCTAGACGAAGGACCTCTAAAAGTGCTTAAGAATGGTCTGTAAAATACTAAAATAGAAGGTCTGCGAATTCACTACATTCCTCTCGCGGGAATTGAGTGTAGGCGTGCTCTTTCTAGTGTAAAATGCTTCATAAAGGCGTAGATTAGCGGGTCTGTTTTCGCTCATAATAACCTTGACCTCAATGCCTTTGAGATTCTGGCAGGAATATACTTTGAGTTTATACCCATTTTGTTTTGTTATTCGTTCTAGAGTAAGAAGCAGGTCTTGACCCATATGGAGAGAGCTGAGAAGGCAAAAGTAAGTTTGTAAGTTTTCGTGGCAGGCAGAACAAGAATCTTCAAAAGATTGATCCATACGGTAGTTGGCTACTGCACTGATCTCCTTCGCAATTTCCTCGCAACGCTTTGGATTTTTTCCGCTAATTGAAGTGTCTTCTCGCAGAACAATGGTAGGGAAAGTACCCCTTTGACTAGTAGCGGTTGATACTGGGACTCGTCAACTTGAAATTATCTGGAATTTGAACCAAACAACCTCAGACAAACAACTACGAAACATCAAATGCTTAGAGATGAACATTTTACGGTGAGAGAATCGCCAAGCGTTTTCGTTTGCGCGTCTTGAGTTACACGGTACCATATGAGTTTAATATACTACAGCTTTTAAGTGGCATAGGACAACGGTGGAGTATGAATAACGTTTGCCTGTTTATCGATCGCCTGATGAACGAGTACATTCAAGATTGCGATTAAAAAGCAGTGTCGTTGAATGAAACAAAAATATGAAACGAGATTCAGATACCAATCTGAACGATCCAAGTACAAAATCCGGATTTATATTGGTGAAATGGAGCACCGCAACTCAAGTGTAGTGTTCTCTCTTTGTCAATTTAAGCAAAGCAAAATACATTTAAAAAACGTCACTTGCTAGAAGGATTGAAAATGGCATATTTTGACGACGTAAACATAAATCAACCAAGCAGAGTGCAGTATTGAATCCTTTTCTCTAGCACTGATTTAGATACAGACAGTAAAATTATTAGTACGGAGATACATTTACGCCGAGATAGTTAGATCCAGAAGACAGGGTGAACCATTATAACACAGTAGATAACCCGGCGTTAGGTATTTGGACTGATGGATTTGACTGTTATCAACAGGATTTTCAAGAGAGGGTGTACTCTTGGGATTAAGTAATCCTTTACATATATATTTACTCTGATAAAAGTTATATTTTAAAAAAATAGGCAGCGAGAGGCCTCCTACACAAGGCTGCAATCAGTGGACAGTACGAGACGGTCAAAATGCTTCTTGAAAGTGGCGAAGATGTGGATCAAAATGATCAGGTTTTTGTCTTCCGCGGTCTTTGTAAATCTAATGCTCGTCGATTCTTTCATTCGTTTCTTGCTTTTGTAGATTACGAGTAGGCGCTTGTGTTTGGGTTTGCACCATCTTTCCGGCTGGCGGCGATTAGAAGCTATAGCCTGCACGAAAGCCTTTGAGTATAATTGTATTCCTTGCGTTCATGAACGAACACAGCATTCTGATTGGCCGTTAGTGACAAATCGTTGACTACAGGACAGGAAAACCACAAAATTCTGTTTTAGCGCATTTTCTTTAAAACAGACTTTTAACGGCTTTACTCTTTATAATCCAGTACTTGCTGACAGTCTCAGCACGTACTCGGGTTAGCTTTCATTTTCTGTGTCTTTTTAAAATAGGCACGAAAAGGTTCTCGGCAAGACTTCAGGCAATTTTCTCCCAAAGTACTCCATTCATTAAACAAGAGTAAACCGTTTACCCCTAAAATGCAGTATTTTAGGCCATTTTCTTTACCCGAGTGTTTTGCTTTCAATGTCTGATAGTGTTTCCTATTAAATTCATGGGTAAAGAGCAAAATATTAAAGTTCTTGATGTTATAAATGGTTTGATCCCATGAATCCTGTCATTAGTATGTCGAGTAAGTGTAGCTCTGAACAGAACTGCTGACCAAACTGACATTTTCACAACCTGTGCAGAAGTCAACATAAGAGTCAAGGAAAATTCTGATAATCCCTTCGACACAGGTTGTAGAAAACGTCAACTTCTGTCACCAACAGACCTATATTCGGTACTTCCCTCACCCACACGATCATATTCAAACTAATTTAATAATTTATATGTTGTAGTTAATTTTTTTATCTCAGGTAATTGTTGGTTTTCTTTTGTCTATAGTAATGTATGCTAATGAAGTTGAAACAAAAGAAAAATAAAAATTACCTGAGATAAAAAATATCAACTACAACATATACGAGTCTGTAACGTTGAAAAGTTAAGGGAACTTTGAACTTGGGGGGAAGTGACCCGCCGTGAACCGGTAAAGGTAAAAGTCCTTAGTTTACGTCTTCGCTCGAAATAGACATCTGACCAACAAACCTGAAGCCGACGGTGCGTTCATTTACTCCTCCTCCCCCTCCCCCCAGCAGCAATGTTCTGAACGTAAACAGAAAGCCTTGTTCCACCAATTCCTAATGGAAAGTGACCTGTAAACGTTGCATTTGGGGCTCAGTTTTAATGTTGCACTTTGGCTCCTCCTTGTAAAATGAAGAAGATAAATTAGTCCAATAATAGCCTCTAGTTTTATTTTATGAAAGACCATCATTATTGCTGGACAAACTGCCTGTTCTCACCCTTTTCCTATTTCTTTAGTTTTCTTTGACTCCTCTTCATCTTGCCTGTTGGTATGGACAGGAATCTATTGTCATACTGTTGTTAGAACATGGCGCAAACGTCAAAGCTAAAGACAGGGTGAGATAGTGAACCTTTTTTTACAGTAAACAATATAGTGCCGGGAGAGGAGTGAGGCAAGGGAAGTTATTGTTGCATGTGAATCTCTTACGGTAATGTAAAACCACACCGTGGACTAGTCGTCCCCGAACAGTGTGAGAGTGCTTTAACGTCCCGCAGAATTTACCATATGTGCAAGAATAGTGAGACGGAGCTTACGGTTTATCGTCCTTATCCGAGGCGACTAGAACGTATTAAGGAGACGAATGGCACAGCATATTTCAAATATTTCCTCCTACAGTTTCTGTAAACGAAGGTCCCTTAAGTGTCCGTTAAATGCAGGTTTCGTTCTGTTTAGGATAATGAACAGTTCCTTATTGCAATACCTTATGTAGACATACCCCTAGTTAAGATATTTCTTCTTCGTAAATAACAAGTGGTAAGTAACACGAATTGCATACTCTGCTTGTAATGTTTTTAGTTTCAACGTACACCTCTGCAAAAAGCTGAACGTCAAGAACACCATTCCATAGTACAGTTGCTGTTGAAAAATGATCCTACGCCAAGTCTTCTTCAACCAGTAAGATATCAAACTACATGTCCCCTAATCCTTCTTGCCAACCTTGTCTTTCAGATGAAATTCGCTTACATTTGTTATATTCTCTGTTGATAATGTTGAACGTTACAGTATTACGTATACAATGTCGTAGGAGCTTTTATCCTAGCTTATATCGCGAAGACCTTATATTGGTTCTTCTCTACACGAACGTGATTTCCAATCCCTCGGTTATGATCACATGAAAGGACGAAAACTACATCATTGTTTCTGAGGTCCATCTCAACTTAACAAGCAAATCCTTACCCCCACCGTTACAGAAAGGGCAAGACAGTTACATCCCCCTACCTTCAGATTTTTTTTTTTTTTTTTTGCTGTGTTGCGGAATTTGCTAAAACTTAAACTGAAATGTATTATAAAGCCTGCGATTAGCTTTTAAATGTAATCTAGATATCATGGGGGTGACTGGCGCTGTGGGAGCCCAGTAGTTTCATTCAAATAACTACTCATTAATAGCCACCATCTAAATTGTGTTCTCCAAAATTACCTGAAACGTTTGTTCGCAACCACCCTTTTGTTTCGAATTCGCTGATAGTGCCTACTCTTGGTACCTGCAGAAAACAAAAAAACTCGACATTGTTTAGAAGGGTGGAGGAGGAATCCAGACAGTCTTGTTTTCAAAACCTTTCCCCCATCTGACAGCTAAAAATTCTAACATCAATTTTGTCGCCATTTGGAGCCATTTTCATACTTTTAGTCTTAAAGCGGTATCATTAATGTCAAACTCAGAGAAGCTAGAGAATTAGAAATATTTTGGAAATGTTCATTGTCTTATGATCAATCCAATTAAGGATTAGTTAGCGAGCAGCAAACCACAAAATAATTACCGTTGCTGCATGCAGCTCACTTCTCCCTCACTTTATTGGCTTCTTTCCCCTTGACACAATAACATTCCAGAAATAATTTTGGTGTAGATAAATTTCCAGGAGCAACAATAATTAACTCTTTGACGGGCAAGCTTCTATATAAATATTAGCATGTTCGCGGTTTCTGAATTTGATAGTAACAATTTTAAACAAAATGTATGTTGTAACCATAGCAACCAACCACCACATTTTTTGTAGATGTGTCCATTTGCATTAAGAGTATAGTAAAGCCCGGTCAATCTATGATCTGCAATAAGAATAGTGGGAAAGTAGTGCTAAATGAATTCCCTCTTTCTAATTTTCGCTCAAAAACATGGTCATTTTCATCATAGGTCAGTCTAAAGGAACTCTCAAGAAAAGCTTTCTTGCAAGTGGATGAACAATCTGGATTTAATCTACTTCAGGCGGCTGTCTTAGAGGGAGAATACAACATTGTTTTAGAAGCTAGTGGCCTTCTTGTGAACTTCTTAGAAGAGATGGAGTATACAAAAACGGGAAATAACGCCAAAGGATTTTCCGGGAAAACTGCAGTTGACATCTTATCACTTGTGAAGGGAACAAAATCAAATCATTATAGTATCGAACGACTTCATAAAAAGTTGGCTGAGAACAACAGCAGACTGACTGAGCTGCAGTGGGGTACATGCAATGATGATGCGGAACAGGCTGTTGAACTTGTATTAAATGACGGAGTAGATATTAATGCCTCAGGATCAGACAATGATTGCACAACTTTGCAGCAGACGAGTCGTTCATCCTCAAGTCAGTTTATTGAGACCCTTATTGATCTTGGGGCCGACGTTGATGCCCAAAGAAAAGATGATAAAGTTACACCTTTAATATTAGCAACTGAATGGAGCAATTACATGGCAGCGTGCTTGCTTTTAAGGCATGGAGCTAATGTAGATGTCCAGGGTGGCAATGGGTTCACAGCACTGCACGTTTCAGTCAATAAAGGTCACGAAAACCTCATCAGGTTGTTACTTAAACACAAAGCGGATGTAAATATTCAAGATTATAGTGGACATACACCCCTGCACCGGTGTGTGACAGAAGATAACGAAAACATCGGTAGATTATTACTTGAACACAACGCGGATGTAAATAAACAAAATCAAGATGGATGCACACCGTTGCACCTGTCAGTGAACAGTGGTTTCGAAAGCCTCGTGAGATTGTTTCTTGAACTAAGCGCAGATGTTGATGTTCAAGATAAAGAAGGCTACACAGCACTGCACCGTTCAGTCAAAAAGAATAACGAAAACTTCGCCCGATTATTACTTAAACGCAACGCAAATGCAAATATTAAAACTGCTAATGGATATACGCCCCTTCACCAGTCAGTCTTTAAAGGTAGCGAAACCCTCGTTAGACTGTTACTTGAACACAAAGCGGATGTAAATATTCAAGATAATAATGGACAGACTCCCTTGCACTGGTGTGATACAAAGGATAACGAAAACCTTGCCAGATTGTTACTTGAACATCACGCGGATGTAAATATTCAAGACTATCAGGTATATACACCCTTACACTTGTGTGTCATAAAGGCTAACGAAAGCCTCTGTAGATTGTTACTTGAATTCAACGCGGATGTTAATATTCCAGATAGAGATGGATATACACCCTTGCACCAGTGTGTCATAAAGAGTAACGAAAACCTCTGTAGATTATTCGTTGCACACAACGCGGAAGTGAATCTTCAAGATAGAAATGGATGTACACCCTTGCACAAGTGTGTCGAAAACGGTAACAAAACCCTCTGTAAATTATTAGTTGAACACAACTCGGATGTAAATCTTAAAGATTTAAGTGGATGCACACCCTTGCACTGGTGTGTCATAAAGGGTAACGAAGACCTCTGTAAATTATTACTTGAACACAACGCGGATGTAAATATTCAAGATGAAAGTGGATGTACACCCTTGCACTCGGGTGTCAGAGAAGGTAACGAAGACCTCTGTAAATTATTACTTGAAAATAACGCGGAAGTAAATATTAAAGATTTGAGTGGATGCACACCCTTGCACAAGTGTGTCATGACGGATAACAAAAGCCTCTGTAGATTATTACTTGAACACAGCGCGGATGTAAATATTCAAGATAAAGGTGGACAAACACCGCTGCATCAGTCAGTTACTAAATCAAACCGTTACTGGTACAGAGATTGCAGTCAGATAATCGATCTGCTGATCAAGTATGGTGTGCAAGATATAGACATCCGTGATGCAAAAGGCAGGACGCCTCTTGAATTGGCAGTGAGATCTCATAACGACCAAGCTGTTCAAAAGCTTCTTGATTTAGGAGCTGATTTTAGTGTGGTAAAAGCTGATAAAAGCGGTGCCATTAGACGGGAACGCTTAAAGAATGCAGCGGAGAGGATGGAACGGCATCTTAAGTTTGATGCCATTTCTGTGCAAGAAACAAAAGAAACAGAGGCTGCAACTAGTGTCACTAATGTTCCAGGGGTAGAAAAACTCACAGAATCACATTTCAAATCAAAGGGAATGCTGAGGCAAACTCCCTCGCATACAACAGAGAAAACAGAGGATAAACCGAAAGCTGAACAAGCGAAAACAATGGGAGCGAGCAACCCCAAACAATGGCGACTTCATCCTCAAGAACTAATTAATTGAAAAGGCCTAATTTAGCCATTTTTTGTCGTGTTAGAGTTCTGTAAGTTATGGGGGTGGGGGCGGGGAATTTTCGAGCAGCATGAATTTTTTTTCTTTAGTGTTTCCCTTGAATGAATATTTTTTTGTCAAGATGTTGTGCACGAATATTTTTTTTCCTTTAAGTAACACTAGACAAAAAAATATTAATCATTCAGTTGTTCACTTAGCCCAGGGCATAATTTAAATATAGGCTACCTGGGCACGTAGGCGAAAGTAAATTGATACATATTCTAAGGTATCCTGTATTGTACGTACATTGGTACTGCGCAATGCAAGTTCATATTGCTTTGCTGAAATTTTACATGTAAACAGCATTACGAACAGCAAGTCACGGCAGGAATGTTTCAGGCTCAAACCTGAACAGATTCTGGCACAGTTTGAAGAAATTAATTTTTTATTATTATGTTGATAAATCGGCAAGTGTATTTTGCAGAACGCTAGACGCAGAACGCCGAATGATGAACAACGGTATATAGCGACAACCCTAACAGTAAATAAACGCTAACCATACTTCCAGTCAGTGCTTAACCCTAATCACTACTCGCAGGACTTAACCCTAACCACTATAGTCATGTCTTAGCCCTTATCACTATTTTCAGTGCTATATACCACTGACCATCATTCGGCGTTCTGCAAAATACCCCTACCGTTGATAAATTATCGATATTTTCTTACCATATTGATACATTAAAGTATTTGTTTATAAGAAATACAACTATGATGATGATATTGTTATTATCAAGAACCAGAACGGAAATTGTCGAAAAGTGTGTGGTAAAACTAGATGAATTTGACCAAATGTTAAAAGTCTTTAGGCTGCTAGTCTGAAAAGAACATGTATCTTTGAGTTAGTTCCATTTATCTAAAAGGACCAGCAACAACTGTAAAAACGAAATCTCAGAAAATTGATTTTTTTATTGTTTTTATTTTATTTACTTATCTGTCGCTTGTTAGAAGTATCAAGAAAAAATATATATTCTAGGTGTTTCTGGGTGTTTCCTTCGATTTATGGAGAATACTCTGATTATTGTTATCCAGATATTAGTATATAACACAAAGTAAGGAAACGATAACCTTATAAGATGTTGATTTTACGTATAATATGTAAAAAAGTATAATTAAATCTATTTAAAGTTATTTAATATTTTATATCTGAAATGGCCAGCTATGAAAATTTATGATAAGCTCACTAGGAGTAATCGGAGCTTAGCAGAGTGCGTTCGATATGTTTGCCAGGCGTACAGGTAGCAGTGAAGGCGAAAGGGTGGATGGTTCTTGCGATAGATAACTATGATTATGGCATATTTTCAACGTAAGGGTTGCGTACAGCGAAACCTCGATTTAAACTAGTGATCAGCGTGATATCGTAAGGTGCATCTCAAGTGCTTGTGCTTGCTTAGAAGTCCTTTTTTAAGTCCAACCTCACACTTAAATCATACATAAACGGGGGGCAATCGCTGCGAAAGCTTTAAAAGACAAAAGACAACTGTTCACAGCAAAAGTCATTTTAAACTGACAATCGCCGCAAAGGCTTTGCCAAACCTGTAAAGACAATTTCAGCAACATGGCAATTTTTTCCACCCTAACCTTAAAAGAGACTCTTGTAAAGTATTTGAATAGGACGTTTCACAAACGTAGTAAAATTAAGAAAACTGTCATTACCAAACAGTACTGCAAATGTCGATAAAAACCTGAAGACATTAACACCAAAACCTCTAATTTCTGCAAGCTAAAGGTGACCGTATTCGATGGAGCTCTTCAAGCAACAAACGAGCAAGGATTCAGGACTGCAAAATAAGAATTGAATGATAACAGATTAATCTCTTTTTTATTGTTTAACGCCTTTTTCGGGCATAAAATCTTTCCGTTGGTTAGACACAGGTCGTGACTGAAATATTTTACTTGAAAATTGAAGTCAAAGGCTCCGTTCGCACTATAACATAGTTGATATTCTATTTGTTCTATAAGACTCCAAACATGTATGTATGTATTTATGTAGGTATGTGCCGCCCCATCGGGTAGGGTTTTTGTGGCTATTTTGGTCTGGAATCGGGTATGGTTTTCAAGGGAACTACGGAGTGTATGAACATATTTATCGTTTCAATTTAATCGAAATGGATTTTAAGAATTTTTTGTTTGCACTCAAAGGTAAGTAATGATAACATAATTTTTGCCTAAAGGCCAGGTCTGAAAACGGGTAAGGATTTTAGAGGTCTAGTCTGAAAACGGATGTGGAAAATTACATTTGTGAGTCTGAAATTGGGTCAGGATTTGAAGAACCGGGCGGCACACCCCCACTAAGAATTCCCAGGAGTACCCCCCCCCCCCCCGGGGGTCGAGGGTTCAACAACTGTCATTCCCAAGCTCTGGACAATAATATAATTTCGCATCAGTAATCGTTCTTAGGTGCAATTGACATTTCTGTTTCCTGGCGAAAAATTTCGATCAGAATGAATGTGTGAACAGGCTCTCTGTTTGGGGAAAAATAGCAAGGAAAGGGAAGGGAAACGGGGGGAGAGAGCCTGTAGACAAATAGCCTGAGATCATGCCCTCTCCCTATTATCCCTTTATGTCTCTCGGCCAAAGAAGCAAAGAAGCAAAAAAAACAAAATAAATTAAAAAATAAAATAACGCCTGATCTCAGGTTAGTAGACAAACATTTGAGGCCGCTATTCCTCCCTCTTGTAATTATCCTGCCGACCATCTGACAGTAACATCGTTATCGGTCAATCAATTTCGGGCACGATGAGTAACTCCTGGGAAAATTAACAGGAAATGAGAGGTGTTTTGCCTAGCCTGTGTACAGACGTCCCCCCTCCCTCAGGATTTTTGCTGAGGGCGGGGGGGGGGGACGTCTGTACACAGGCTATATCCAGAGCAAGAAGAGTGTTTAAGAGAACTCATCTTCAAAATATCCCCACGACATAGAACACATACGGCCGCAACTGGTGCAGCAAACATCGCAGGTCTCAATTCACAATTTTTGTTCAAGAAAGGCGAAAACTAGCCGGTGAATATACACCAACTCAAAGAAAACATGCAAAGGCAAGGGAAGAAATGCCTTTGTTTGCTTTGCCGGGAAAACTCTTATCCCGGAGTTTTCTGCGACCTATTCACCAATCACGACACAGGAAATTACTTAGGTCATGGCATTTTATTACAACCAATCAGAGGCTGTCCCCAACATTCCGGGGAAACGGCGATTCACAGACGTCCCCTCTCCCGATTTTTTCCTGAGGGAGGAGGGGACGTCCGTACACAGGCTAACCCTATCAAAGCCTTCAATGGCACGTGTGTGCGGCTCACGTCAATAACTTTTCCAGTAATTGGTCGAGCGTGTTGATTTCAGTGAATCGAGAGTGGCGCTACTGTGGGCTGATTTATAAGTTTTTCCTAATAAATAACATAGAGTTAAAGTGTTCGTTTGTCCGGTGCCGAAAACTAAAATCACAAATCATGGTCAAATGGCGCCGCCGAGCTTCACATCTCGGTAGATTTACTTTGTGGCACAACGGCTGCCGAGCTACACAACTCGTAAATTTACTTTGTGACAAAACGGCCGCCGAACTACACAACTCGGTAAATTTACTTTGTGGCATAACGGCCGCCGAACTAAACCCGGTTTGATGCATGCACCCGTAGTCGCAGACATTTTCCAAAGACAGTGACGAACCATGCTGAAAAATATGAAGGCTTAATCCAAAGTAAAAATTTAACAGCAAACTCCTGAAAGATGAACGCTTTGGACGATTCAGAAATCACAGATCGATGTACGCTTTACAAAGATTCAGCAAACTTTTTAAAAGATGAACGCTTTACGAAGAATAACAGACCTTAGCAAACCTTTGAAAGATGAACGCCGAGGACACAACAATCACCACATGAGTTAGCGTGTCAAAGTGAGGCAAAACTTGAGCAAGCGCCTCAAAGCGAGGCAAATGTGTGTCGACGACGAACGAAAATGCAATCTCAAAAAATCTCCCTTATTAATTGCACAGGTCACCCAATAATGCACAGAACACCCAACCCAAATTAGGGATTGCGTTCTTGTACCTCGAACGGAACTATTATTATTATTATTATTATTATTATTATTATTATTATTATTATTATTGTGTACGAATCAAGACTTGTGTGCCCTATTTTCTGCAAATGTTGGTTTGAGTCATCCTCGGAGACCCAGGGGCAGATAGTGGGGACGAGGGAAAGGGGCTCTTCTCGCCGTTCTTTACTTTTCTTCGTGTCATATTTTTCCGCCCGTTTAGACTTTCCCTCGCCCCCTTTATCTGCCCCTCGGTCTCCGAGGATGGGTTTGAGTTGACGTTACCATTTCTTCGAAGAGCTCATTTGACAAAATCTACCTCTTACTTTTGGTCGACGGTTAGAAGACGTCAGGATGAAACCTGAGTCCATGAGGCTCAATCGCTTGTCTCTTATGCAACTTTCAAGAACTTAGGCCAAGATACAAATATCCAGATGTTTTTAAAGATATTTAGAAGAGACATTTATTATTTTTTGTAGTATTTAGAAAATCTCATGATATTTAGAAAAAATTGTGATATTTAGAATTTTGTTAAGAAAAAAGTATTGAAATCATGTTTTTTCTAGGTAGTTACTTCATTGCTAATTAGGGCATGGGTACTTCAGTGACAAATATTCAAACAAATCTCCCCATATGGGTCCATTTATAATATATGCAATGTGGCTAATGTTCAACAAAATGGCTAATGCTAACAGATCAGCTGCAGTAATTCATACAGTTCCCGATGACGTAACCGGGAATTTCCGGAAACATCCCGTCTTTCCATCCCTAATTTTTGCTCCATCCCGTAATCTCGATGGTTATTTTTAGCATCCCGCATCTCCAACATACTCTTAATCCCGAATCCCGGCCTTCAAGCAAGGAAACTTTCGGATCCCGAAAAAACAACTGGGGACCTATCTACAGCTAGTGGAATCCTTCCATACACCACTTCGACATTTCCCATATTAAATAACCTTATTTGCGCCCCCAAAATTTTGAATAAGCATTGTTTTCAATTGCTCTAGGGACGGCTGTAATACCCGGGAGAAATGAAAGACACAGGTTATGCAAAATTTGGGGGGTCGGGGGTGTGTGGGCGGCAAATAAGGTGCATTGTGGGAAATGTGCAAGTGGCAAATTTATTGGAACAAAAGAAAACGTTTGCATAATAAAAGAGTTCAACTCCAACATGGCCGCCGTTTCATTGTTTTGGGACACCAATATGGCCGCCGTGAAATCATGTGAAAGCACTCTATTTCGTATGTGAATGACGAGTGGTCACCTTTTCTAACCTACCATCGTATTAAACCTTGTCTTTCCAGGATATATTTTTAACCATTCGCTGAATTCTCGTGTAAGACGTTTAAGTTCCATCTAGGCTTTTTTTTTCTTTTTCAGATATGCTCTTAGTAACTGCTCTAAGCTTACACTTTCATCCCCAGCCTGAGGGAGAGAAGCGAAGGGGCCGCGAACGATCTCCAACGTCTGAGAATCAGGATTCTATCAATCAGGCTATTCCACACCAGACATTTGTCATTTTTACCAAAAATGCACTTTGCGAGGACAAGAAATTATACATTGTTGTACTAAGCTGAAAACACTTAAATAAAACAAACTGGAAAAAGGAGACTTGAAAATTTTCCCGCTAATCGAAGAACTTCGAGGCTCCTGATTTGAGAGAGTGACTATAAATTAGAGTTGAATGTTATATAAAGCACAAATTGTACTGACAGGACCAAAAAAGTCTTAATAAGCCAGTAACAGAGTAACCTGAGATCAGGCTCAATTTTCGTTTCGCTTTGTAATAACATTCCGCCGGGCAAGGCGAAACAAAAAAATTTTAGCGGTAGCCGTTAGAGAGAATGTATATTGGGCCTGATCTCAGGTTAGTAACAGCGGGAATGGCTCAGTCGTAACGCAACTTTTGAAAATGGTCGCGGTGTCTTCACGCTAGGCCTAGATACAAATATCGCAAAAAATGTTCTAAATTTCTTCCTAGACTAATTCTCATAAAATTCCTAAATTTCTTAAAAAATCTTCTAAATTTCTCAGAAATATCATTTTTTTCTAATGTTAATTTGACCCATTTTTGGCTTTATATCAATTAAAGAAATGAAAAAAAATATACATTATTATTTGAATAGTAAAAGATGTATATTGCAGGGCTGGTTTATTTTAAGGTATAATAAGTAAATAAAAACATCTAAGCAACTCGATTTCATCAATTTCTGTTTATTAATTAAATATTGCAATTTGCCATAAGTGCTTTGCCAGAACACGGATCCCAGATAACCGTCGTAGGCGTGACAAAACTGAAACAACCTCATCTTCTCCTCCTCTTTGTTCTTGTTCACTCGCCTGTTCAATTTCCACTTCGATAACTTCCGCCATGTTGACTGATTGATTTCACGTGGCGTCGAATTAATTGGTAGGTACTTTGTATATGGTGCATCTTATTGTACTGCAGAATAAATCTGCTGAATTGGTAGTATCGCTGGCTCGTAAAAGGACACGAAATTAATATAAACCTTTTTTTTTGTTCTTATGAGGTATCTTTTTTGTGATAATTGCTCTAAATATCACTTTTTTTTCTAAATTTCTCAAAAACTTCTAAATATCTCAAAAAATATCACGATATTTGTATCTAGGCTTACTTCACGCACGTTGCGTGACGACACAAAGTTCTTGAAATGCGCGGTGCCCTGGGAACAAGGGTTGTTTGGGAAAGGAAGGCGCCATTTTTGACCCGTTTGATGAGTTTCACCATCAAAAGTTTGCTGTAAAACACTATGTTAAGAACGAACTGGTAATGGGCAGAGCTTTACAGAAACATGCAAGGGGAAAGAATCCTCAAATCACTTCTAAACGGACAGATAGGTGGTCTTTTTGAGGATACGAAGGTATTAAGTTGAACAATTACAAACTTAGCTGTTTGCTAAATTAATTTATTAAGGTGTAAAATTATGGTAGCTTCTAGCTCACTTAGCGAAGATACTTACGATTTGTAAGGTTACTCACTTTCAAACACGTTTCCTTGAATAAAAATTTAGTTCATTTCAAAGCGAGCGTCTTGTTAGACTCTAAATGTAGCTCCAATTGCAAGAATCGCGCGGATCTACATGAGCAGGTCATGAATGAGTGTCACTTGAAAGCGAACCTAAACCTAATGAATTAAACTTATTTTAGACGTCTTTTTTGCCAAAGCCTCTCATTTTTCTTAACTCCATATTTTAAATGGGGTAGCCTTCACCCTTGATATGTTGTTTTTAATATTGTTTTGTGGAACTTGCAGAATTATCTTGCTCCACTGCAATGTCCGCTAAAGAACAAAAATGGCTGCCAAGCAGGAGGCAAAGCTACAGAGGAAACTGTATCAAAGTACGCCGCTTTTTGTACCAAGTTCCTAAGGTTTGCTATAGAGACCTTGAAAAATGTGAAAGCCAAGGAGAAAGGCCTTATTGAGGTCACAGATGCCTTGAAATTAGGTAAGGTAAAGATGAAGCATGTGAACATCTTTAGTTGTTGTTTGGGAGTAAGGTCTTTTCTGAGTTCCTAAAATAAGCTTAATGCTACTCTTAAAATGGGACCAGCTTCAAAAGGTCGTCACTTGTTTCCATCCGCCAAACTGACGTGACGTCATCTGATCTCCGGTGAACATCTTCGGTTTACGCGTCGGCTTCTTATGGTAAAAACAAATATGGCGGCCACTGTCTGGTCTAGACTGATATATGCTTGTCAGTATACCACTCAAACTAGCGAATGAAGTGAGATTATGTTTGCCAGGATTTACCCAACCGATCTACCTTGTGTTGTTTGGTTAAAAGGCAAATCTTAAGAGAAGGTAGGCCCGAGAAGGTATGATGCGAAAGCTACTATTGACATTTATAGTTTACGTTCAGAAAGTGGCAAGGAAAGACTTAAGCTTAAATTACTTTCTATCGAGCTCACTTCTAAAAGCGTTTCATATGGAGAGTATTCTATATAGAAAAAGATATTTCTGGTTTATCAGCTTCATTCTCAAGCGACGTCATTTTGGTGGGTGGACAAGGTTCCATCTATCAAACTGACGTGACAAATGTTGAAATTAACAAGCCTCACTATCATTGTGTCGTTACAGAGTTTTTATTGAAATGTTCTATGGCATTACACGGCAAATTACTGCAGATTCTGTTAATTTTTCATTTATTTGGAGCTACATGTAATAAGAAACTTACACTTTAAGTACTGACTGTATTTATTTCGCTATTAAGTTTAGTCCGGGGCACCCAACGACAATTTTTGGAAAATATCTGTTCAGAAGACGATTTGAGATCTAGAATTTTCCGAACATTTGTTGTAAAACTCCTTGCTTCCCTGCTTCTCCTAGGATTTTCTAACATCTAAAGAATGGTATAATTGCCAATTTTTAACTGATTTTTACCCTAAAAAGGTCATCTAGAATTTTCGGGAGCCTTTTTTCTGGCTGAAATTTTCGAAAAGGTAAGTTTCGATCCCTATAATTTTTGGATCACTAGACTTTGAGCTAGGAAATCTGAACAGATGAAAAATTTTTTGGGGATAAAAATATGCCTATATCTACCGTTTAAATACTAAAATACGTTTAAAAATCTTATGTTTAAGGTGACTCGACCCAGTTTTTTTTAGGGGGTACCATCCTACTTTGAAGCTCTCTGGTATCCCCACCTTTAGTTTTATCGTAAGTATAACACATAGAATGGACAACATGTAGATCAATCTACAATATAACACAAAATTTTTGGCGATCGGAGTAAATGTCACGTGGTTATAATGCCACGCCCCTTTAAGGTCTGAGTCGAACATCTGCTGTTGCCAGCATTTTTTCGTGAAAATCTCTCGGCTACACATAGTGCGCATTAGTACCTTGCGCTGAACAGAGTTTCACCAAAATCGCAAAGACCCAATTCGAGAAATTCAGCGGTTTCCAAATTTAGGTCATAATTTATGCGAAAATGATAAGCAAACTTTACACGGATTATATCTAATAAACTATGAGATTCATCTCTGTATTTTGGGCATCCTTATAACAGATGGGTCCTTGAAAGTCAGCAAAACGCTTTAGGGCCTTGTAAATGAGCGCGATTTCGAGCAAAGCAAACATATAGAAATTATAGTTTTCGCTATTTGTTGACGTTTGTCAGCGTTTAAGAGTCAATCTCACGAAAAAAGCATTTTCTTAAAAATTCGTAGCTTTTTTTCCTTCAAATTTTTTCAGGGCCACAATTGATTAACTAACTACCCGGACTCTTTCATGGTCATTGAAAAACTGTGACATTACCTTCTATAAGCCCAAACTTGAGTAAACATTGAAGATTTTTAGCGTTTTGGCTGAGTTTGTACTTTGGGAGTTGTCTATTGTTTCTAGTCTGTCATTATACAGCATTCTTGTCCAGCACGCGTGCAATGACCACGCTTGGCTGACTTCCGAATGCTCACCGAGATATGATAATTTAGTATAAGAAAATAGAAGGGATTCCCGTGGCTTGCATTAAACCTATGAAAAAATTGATATTTTTTTAATAGTAAGTAGATTTAGTATGTAGCACTTCTTGATTTTTTTGCAAAGGCACAAGAAGCACGAGAATTGATTAAAAATTGTGAGTTAAACCTCTATGTATCACGCGATAGCCTGTCTCACTGTACCAAAATTATCATATTCGGAAGTCAGCCAAGCGCGGTCATTGCACGCGTGCTGGACAAGAATGCCGTATAATGACAGACTAGAAACAATAGACAACTCCCAAAGCACAAACTCAGCCAAAACGCTAAAAATCTTCAATGTTTACTCAAGTTTGAGCTTATAGAAGGTAATGTCACAGTTTTTCAATGACCATGAAATTCAGAGTTCGGGTAGTTAGTTAATCAATTGTGGCCCTGAAAAAATTTGAAGGAAAAAAAACTACGAATTTTTAAGAAAATGCTTTTTTCGTGAGATTGACTCTTAAACGCTGACAAACGTCAACAAATAGCGAAAACTATAATTTCTATATGTTTGCTTTGCTCGAAATCGCGCGCATTTACAAGGCCCTAAATTGTTTTGCTGACTTGCAAGGACCCATCTGTTACAAGGATGCCCAAAATACAGAGATGAATCTCATAGTTTATTAGATATAATCCGTGTAAAGTTTGCTTATCATTTTCGCATAAATTATGACCTAAATTTGGAAACCGCTGAATTTCTCGAATTGGGTCTTTGCGATTTTGGTGAAACTCTGTTCAGCGCAAGGCACTAATGCGCAATATGTGTAGCCGAGAGATTTTCATGAAAAACTGCTGACAACAGCAGATGTTCGACTCAGACCTCAAAGGGGCGTGGCATTATAACCACGTGACATTTACTTCGATCGCCAAAAATCTTATGTTATATTGTAGATTGATCTATATGTTATCCATTCTATGTGTTATACTTACGATAAAACTAAAGGTGGGGATACCAGAGAGCTTCAAAGTAGGATGGTACCCCCGCAAAAAAACTGGGTCGAGTCACCTTAAGTGGTTTTGAACTATATTCTCGTTGGGTGCCCCTGTTTAGTCATGATATACATGTAATTTGCATGATTTTAAGAATATCGCAACTACGTGTAACCTAACAACTTAGTTGTAATCTTTTCTTAACATGACAGTCAATAGTAAACAAGGAAAAATATCAAGCCAACTGTCATCAACCAGCCAGTATGCTGCAACTGTTAAACTGTAATGAGACTTCTCACAGTTCTACTTAGTTAATTTTATGATTGCAGTATTGTGATGCCTCAGTTTATTAAAACCTACCATCCATAACATTTATGGTCAGTATTATGCTCATAATTCTATGCAAAATTAATATACACGTAACGTTCATTTGCTGACAGGTATTTCACAAAACAGGAATTATATACAATGTTTGTGACACACATATGCTAACTATATATCACAGCTTATTCTCTAACACTACCACTGGTAACAAAATGAGTACTGGTATATGAAGATCATTATGAAATGTGGAGTCCAAATTCTGAGCTACATGTAACACATCTTTGTATTTGCCCAACAATAGGAGAGCCCAAAAGTACTACTATAAAATCATCAGTAGTTGCCATAGAGATGGTGTGTGTTAATCAGTAATACCCATTTTTCAGCTTCTCGCTCTTATAACTTGAAACTTTGTCCAATGCCCCAAATTTTGTATGGTGTTATTTCACTAAGCAGGAAAACAAGTCATGTTAACAAAATTTGACAAAATATTGAAAAACAGGTTCTGGGAGAAGGTTTTCTAGAATTACCAAATGGCATAGATTTCAATAAGGAAAATGAACAGTTTTCTCAAAACAGCCCTTTATTTTCGATGGTGAAAAGCAATGGTATCAAACAATCAGTGGCTTACTCGCTATTCCTCTAGACATAAAACTATACCACAGCAACAGTATAACTTGTCACAAACACTATGATTTTGCCACGTTGCGAAGCAGTGTTAGGACCTCTTCCCTGCTGTCAGTCAACCCATTTTCAGACTTTCGTAGCCATCTTTCCCAGTACTGTTCCCGATGAAAGTCACAAATATATGTAGTGGTATCTGTTAAACCAAATTAGAATGTGAATCTTTTTTTACATTCTATTTTTAATATTATAATAGTGTGTTGTCATTTGAGAGAAGATAAAGCACTATGATGGATATACTGATACCTCGTATGGCATCAACCTAAGCTTGACTTTAAGGTTTCGCCCTCAAGGAAGTATCCAGATTTGTAACTGAATACCTAAAGTCATATTTAATTTGGCCTGGTTTTTCGGTCAATAGGGAGGATCAAGGTTAACTTACAATTTTATAGAAATTGTTACTTATTCCTTCAAAATCTTGTTTGCCTACATGTACTTGAATACTTGAATGGCAAGCTGTAAAAAGGATTTTCTTTGCACCCTGCTTGAATGTACAAGTCTTTATTTACATTTAGTTTCACACTTTGAGAATATTGGCCCAATGTTGAATCATCCGTACCTGTGAATGTGTTCTCAATTACATGGATCTCTTCATGACAAAAGTCAGTCATGAAAAATTGGGGCTTCCAGCTGGCATTCCAATCATGGAAGATTCCTAGTGCTTCCTGTATGGAGGCTGTAGTTTCCCGTTGAATTATGAAAGACCCCACAACTATGTAATTTACATTTGTCTTTACCACTAGGAAAAATAGACGGAGCTCATATCTCATTGTGTTGTAGGTTGCATCAAGCAGGGTGATCTCATTTCTGTAACGGATCATGAGTTGCTTTTGCCAGGCTGTTTGATGAGCAAACAAAAGATCATCTCGCACATAATTTTGATCTGTTTCCTCATTGTTCATGCTTTCAGAAGCTGTTGATGAGGCTGATAGGGCACAGGGTCTAAAATAGAAAGAGTCTTGTGGGTTCTCCTGACACCAATTTTCAATTTTCTTTTCAAGGTTTTCCTGATCAGATTTGGACAGGATTTTTTTTACTGATGCCTGATACATGTGGTTCCTGATGTCCACATCTGTTGGATAATAGCGCCTGTTTGTTGATGCTGGTGCAGATTGCCCTGGAAATAGTTCAGTTTTTACGAATTGCCTAAGATGTCTTTTCATTTCGTCCACAGTTTTCACACCTTCGCCAACAAGCTCTCCAATCTTGTCTACAAGCCGTTTGTCGATGGGCCGCAGAATGCCACCAATCTGGTTGTTTGATACATGAGGAGAAAAATGAAAATGGAATTACATTTTTGACAGAAATATTTTGACAGCCATGCTGATAGTTGTAGGCACTGCTGGTACAATGTACACTTACATGAAATGAATGAAATGTCACTTCTGTCAACAACAACATTCAAAAAACAAATTATTTGGATAGAATAGCAACAAATCAGTTGAAATAATAATTCCTAGACAATTTTGTTCATTTTTTATCAGCTTCTATTTTAGTCCTAGACACTACTTGGACCTTTTGTCATGATCATTACTTCATTTACAGACCTAGGCTATGATTGTTACACTACTTAGCATGTAGCCACCCATACACCTGTTGTACTTTGTGACCTAGCCTTTGAGTGGAAGGTCTGACTTGACTTTCTTTCACATGCCTTCTTGCCTTTTCATAGGAAAGTAATATCTGTCCGAAACTATAATTACCATAATGATTTATACATGAAAAACTAGAAGGTTTATAGGAAAATGACTCAACTCTTGTCCCACCCATTCAAAGTGTTTTTCCCTAAGCCTTCAACTATTACTCAAACAAAAAGAGCCAAAAACAAAAGTTAATATTATTGTTCTCAAGTTAAGGTAGTGTCCCAGTTCTTTCCATTGACATCAACAGACCTCTCCAGTGATGTGATCTTTGTGTTCATCCCCCTTTGGTAATTGGATATAAATTCTGTGTTTCACTTGGGGTTTCTGTCCGCTGGTTATATCAGTCTTCAGCTTTTTGGACATGTCCCGTCTTAGTCTTTCTGTGTCATCCCTGATCTAATAGAGTTAAAAGACAGTAATAAGTTATGAAATGAAGGGATGTATTTTACTGAGCGGAAGTATAATGTCAATTGCTATTATTAGTATTGTGATGGTGGTTTTGTACCTTGTAATTGCAATACTTTATGACTTCTGATAAACGAATACTTGCAGGGCAGCCAAACTACTTCATTGTGTCTTGAGGTAGAAACCTCCTCCTTTTGAATGAGTGATCATCAACCAGTAGTTAGAAGATTAATATTATAGATTCCTTACAGTTTAGTGCTAAAAGCACCAAAAAGGCTGTGGCTGTGAAATGAAAATGCGGATATTTTTTAGTCATAACCAACATACCTTCTCTTCAGAATGTCTCGCTTTAAATGACTTTTTCCTGTCTGGTCCATGTTGGCAGTCAAATACCTTGGTGCCAATTATACTGAATGGTACTCCATCAAATGGAATTTTGTCATCTTTGAAATAGACTTTTCTTTGCTTGGCAAAGGGATCTGTGTCATAGCAACAAGGAAAGTCTGTATTATGTTTATTAGGGCTGTACTCTAGCAGTCCTCAGAGGCCCCCGGTGACTTACTGTTGCTTTTCGGCAAGAAGGCAATCTTAGTTTTTGCCCAAAATTACTATGCTGGGCAGCCAGAATGTCAAAGGGTTAGTGTTTTGGGCTTCTTAGAGCATAGCCTTGTTTATTATAATTTTGATTGTATTCTGGTATGCAACCTACACCACAGTCAAGCCAATGTATTACATGCACCCTTTGCAGATAGTACTCAGTCAACCATAGATTTAAAAATACCGTAAAATTCCGAAAATAAGCCCCTCCGTGTATAAGCCCCTCCAAATATAAGCCCCCCAAACTGGCGTAACGCAAAAAACCCTCCGTAAAATCGCCCCTCCAAATATAAGCCCCCCGGGGGCTTTTACTTGGAAAATTGCCCTCAAATACAAAATAAAACAAAGCAAAAACGGTAAATTTACTTCCAACTATGAGGCTAGCCCAATCGATTTTGAAACGCAAATTTCCCTCCCGTATATAAGCCCCTCCAAAAATAAGCCCCTCAAAAAGGGCCTTTGAAAAATATAAGCCCCGGGCCTTATTTTCGGAATTTTAAAGTATTTCATGTCTTTGATTCAGAAATTGTTCATGCCATGAATACCACTGTGTTTAGAATATGCACATTCTACTCCAGCATATTTCTCCCCCCCAACAAAAGAAAAATTTCTAAGATCACAGCATTGCTTATTATAATCTTTTGATTGTAATCTGGTGTGCAAGCTGCACCACATTCTACTCCAGCATTCTTAACCCTACTATGTTACACTGCACTGCTAAAATCATAGCTGCTGATAACCAATCAGATTCAAGAATTTTTATGACCAACTTATTGTTTACGCACTTATCAACTGACATCCCCCCTCCCCCACCCCCAGAACAGGGTGGGGATTTGACTTCATGTTAACTACAATGGTGATTAACCCCCATGAGGGGGCACCTAAACTTTTAAAGCCCCCAACTACAGTCCTGTAGGAGAAAAATAAAACATGGCAAATCTTGAGAAATCCCCAGCCCCCAACGGCAAAACATGCTGTCAAATTTTATCAAACACCCTTTGTTCCCCCACCTTGGCCCGGGGGTGGGGGGTCGGCTTTCAGTTGATAAGTGCATAATTATTTTGTTGCTTCATAATTATCTTACCTCCAGCACCAAACATTTTGTCTGATTTAAAACAAGAGAATTTTGTTGTTGTTCCCAGTTCATATTGTCTTATTACAGTCATGGCTTCCTCAACTGATCCAACATAGCCAACAAACTTGTTTGTTGATCCTCTTAACTTCGCTTGCCAAGTACATACAGTAGCACTGTCTTTCTCACTTTCTAAATATATGCCTTCAGCTGTGCCGCTACCTTCTTGGGTATTTGCCGGCAAAGCCATAACAAACGACTTGTGCTGAGTACTATAAACCGAGCAGTCAACTTCCAGATCTCATACACCCGGAAACTTTATTATTCTCCTTTCGAAAATGCCCACCAAACAACAATGCTTAGCGGGAAAATCTTCGGAATTCCGAGACAGGTTTTCGCTATATTATCGTCAATTTTCGTGCGCGTTCGCCTGTTATTGAACGTCAGTTTCATGGATGGAAAGATACGCTATCTGTCACGCCATCCATCAAACTGACGTTCTCCACTGTGGCAAGCTTTAAGGGTATAAAATAGCTTTACCCTTGTCCAATTTACCCTAATTAAGTTTTCAAAGGTTTATTGAAAAAAATCAGGACCCTGCTTTATGTGCACAGAAAAACACAAATAATCTGCTGGACACACGTGGACCCACAAAAGATCATCCGCCATATTAGTTTTTACGATAGGAAGCCGGCGCGTAAACCGAAGATGTTCGCCGGAGATCAGATGACGTCACGTCAGTTTGGCGGATGGAAACAAGTGACGACCGCTTGAAAACCTTACTAATGAAAATGAGTTTTATTTATAACACACACACACACTTAACACGCATACTTTATTATTATGAATAATCTACATTTACTGACATAAAGTCCATTTCCGCCCGCAAATAGCAGGCGCTAAGTAGAGCCAGGCGGAGATAATAGGTACACCAGTCAGTAATAAATTACAAATAAATAGATGAATAAATAACTAGATATATATAAACGAAATAAAGCTTAAACTTAAATTAATGACATTAAAAAATCAACTACCTGAAACTCGTAAAATTAACCACGACACTAAATAATTATTAAGATATGTATACTTTATAAATTAAACTTTGTATTTGCTCGATAGTTAGCTATTTTTTGAAGCAGAATGGGCGATTCAACATAATTGTCCTCGGCCTCTAATAATGAAAATAGCATGTCATTGATATGTTTTTTGAACGCTCTCTTGCCGGGAGGTGACGAAGTTCATCGCATATTGAGTTCCAAAGCTTAGCTCCGAACCTAGCAAAAGAACCATAGTTTTGATTCAGTCTCGATCGGTTAATATAAAAATTGCAGGAGGAAGAGAACCTGGTCTTGTGATTCTGCTTTTCATTAGCTTTAATGAAAAGATTACTAATGTTAGTGGGAACAGTTAGACAAGAGACGTTGAGCATTATTGAGGAAACTGTTTCAACGTGTAACATTTAAAGAAAGGATTTTTGAGGAGGTAAATAAAGGCAACGCATGTGCTCTGGGTTCAGAAAAATACATCAACCGAAGGACACGTTTTTGTAGCACGAGGATTTTTTGTAAATGGGATTTAGCAGCTTGACCCCAAGCAGCAAACCCATAGGATAGGTAGGGTAGTATCAAAGAGTGATAATTACTTGATAGAGTGGTAAAAGGGACGAGGTGCCGAAGACAGGCAATAACTCCAATAATTCTACTTATTTTTAGTGCTACATTGTCAATGTGGTATTTCCAGCTCAAATGACTATCCACTAAGACACCCAGATATTTTACATGATCCTTAAACTCAAGGGAAGTAAGAAAGAGATTACTATTATCAAACATTAGAATATTGACCGAATGGTCCATCTTAAGTTGTTGAGGACAAAAGATAACAAAGTTTGATTTTCTAGCATTTAATGTTAGCTTATAATTTGCATTGAGCCAATCCGAGACTCTGACCAGTTCGTTATCGACCATTTTTTCAAGAGATTTAAGATTTTTGTCAGCATTCAACAACTTTGTGTCATCTACAAAAAGGTAAAACGAAAATTTCGCTGAAGAATAAAACTTTACAACCTACTTATGGTCTGGGAGTCCCAGGTACATACAACACATTTCACAGTAGAAAGAAATAGCATTTTCAACATGGTGTAAGCAGGGCACAACAAAGTGGTATCTGATAATCCAGAGCCAGTAAGGCTTAAATATGGGTCAAATATAAGTTGTCCGATAAGCAAACCACATTTGCTTTAAGTGTGAGATTAATAGAGGGCTACAAAGTTACATGTAACTTGCAAATTGTTTTGTTCATATTTCAGTGGGGACACTTCTCAACAACACTTTATCACTCCGTCATGGAAACTACCTGAAGTTTATTCCTTCAGTAGATCAGCTTGCTAAAACACTTTACCTTATTGTTGCTCAGCTCATTGCTAAGACACAGTTTGAAAGGGCTCTGGATCATGCTAATGACCTATATAAATTCATCCAGCTTCTTAAGGCATGGAAGAGCTATGACAGTGAAAAGATGGAGAAGGAAATTGGATCACTTTGTTTACGTTCATCTGATTTGTTACTCCAAGGAGCTGAGAAGCTTGAGGAGGCAAAAGTACCTCCAGGGGAACGACCATCACAATTGTGTGTTGTGTTAGACTGGAGAAAGCGCTCATTACTTTTTCAAGCAGGAGCAAATGTACATTGTTCACTAAAATCCTTAGTGGATAGAACTCTGAAATGTGGGACAAAATTTCAAGTGGATTGTGGGCTCAAGAATGTTGATTTTAAAACCTTAGCAAGCTTCTTTGAAACCATTTTTAGTGCACTCATGAACAAGCAAGAACAACTGATTGCAAATGGACAAGAATTTACAGTTCTCTTGGCTGAACTTGGATTTCATTATGGCAGGATTTGTAATAAGGCTAGAAACTCAACAGAAGCTTTGGCTGTGTTTGATAAACTGTGGAAAACTGCAGGAATTGAAAACCATTGCAAAAATGGGCATTTTAAACTACAAATACCTCAACAAGTTTGTTGCTGTGTGTGTTTAGTCTGCAAGGCAGCTATTTTGTTGAACTCTACTATAAAATCTCAAACTCAAGAATCTCTTCAGCAGATGTTATTCGAAAGTAATCGGCTAATCTCCCAGATCCTGAAGTGTAGCATATTACCTTCACCAATGTTAAAACTACTTTCAGACTCCCTGGAGTACTTCAGAATTAATTTGCAAAATGAAAGTAGCCAGAAGAGTAAGGAGAAATCACCCACTCTTTCATTGAAGACTCTTCAAGGAACAGTACAAGTGCTGCAGTCTTACATCTCAGTCTTATCTTTGCAGTGTGAGTGGCTTAGGTCAGAGCTGCTTAAATCCAAACATGACAATATTGTGGCACAGCTGAAACAGCAGGTTCTAAAGACCACAGAACGGCAAATGACAGTATTTAGTTTTGTTATTTCTTCATATCAAGATCAGTTGAAGAGTGAAAAAGATGCAAAAAGTACAATAAGGGATTCAAGGTCAGTAGTATACCCGCCAACTCTCACGCCTTAGGCGTGAGTCTCACGCCTGTGGGTTGAAAACTTCGATCTCACGCTCGCTCACGCTTGCGGGCCAGTTTCTCACGCCTGATTGAAAAATGTGAGTTGTTGCCGTCTTGCTTGACACAATTTCCAAAAATATGTTAACTCAGACCCATGTAAGGAACGACAACCACTTATAAAATGAATAAATGACAATACCTTCCTCGCGATCTCTGATTTTGTGGATAAGCGTTTTCTCGATAACTTCGCCTTCGGCAGTCTTCGGACGTCTTCGGAAGACTTCTGACATCTACGGAAGACTTCGGACTTCTTCGGAAGACTTCCGACTTCTTTGGGAAGACTTCGGAAATGATCCTGTCGTCTTCAAAAATCCCAGCAATCCCAGGATAAAAATCTCACGCATATATCTCAGAAAAAGTTGGCAGGTATACAGTAGTATCACACAACGTTTAAAACAGTTAACTGCAGTGTAGTACACACTGTAGTTTAATGAAAGGATTACATGTATGTTGTTGTTTTATTTCTCTTTGTTTTGGGGCATGTTAATGGATGAAAATGAGTGAAAAACAAAAGGAAACATTGTGCAAAGAGAGTAGTATCTGATACCCCAGGGCTAGTGGATTTTGTCATTGGTCTACGGAAGTCTGTTCTTAACTTGCCTGATGGGCAAGTGAAGTATTTTGAGGAATTCAACTTACAGAAGAACTTTAAAATCAATTCTGCTCATCAAAAAATTTTGGGGGCTTAAGTTGAAATGACGTTTGGGCTAGTTAATGCTAGCTTCAGCTTGCCCGAATGACAAGCTGTAAAAATGACTTTCTTTGCACCCTGGAAAATAAAATTTAAACCAAGGTTAAATTTGAACCATAACATATGCATGTAACACTGGTCAAACTTTTATTGCTTATCCAGTATCCTAGCTAAACTCTTGCCAATCAGCCTAACAATTCTTGAAACAAAATTACAAAATAATATCTCTAGAATTTGTCTTTTTTGTGTTGCACACAAATGGGGATGCACACTGTACGCACTATGTCTGACAAGATGGCATTTTGGGGAAGATGTACCGTAAGTAGTCTGGGTCTGAGAAGGCTCAAAGAGACTAAGAGAAATCTAGTAAGAATATCTATAAAAAATGGGGGAATGAATGAATGTACAGCTGTTGGTGGACCCTTACAAAGAACTGTAGAGTCAAACATTTCTGGGTATCAATGTTGAAAGAGTTTACTGTACTGTTAATGTTAACACATTCTTTATTAATTATAATATGCAGATGTCAGATCTTTAAGGACTGTATTCCAGTAGTAGAACAAGCAAACTCTGTAATTCATTCTGCCCTTGATGATCCAGACATCCCATTGACTCCAAACGAGCTCCGGTGGCTAGGCTGCAATGTGTACAATTTGGGCTGTGTGTCGTATCAGAGAGATTGCTTTACGGAAGCAGTTCCTGTGTTAGCTATTGCAGTGTGAAGAGCTGAGAGTATGGTGCTTTGCTGGCAAGACTGATGAGGAAATTCTTGCAAAGATTGTGGAGGTAATATGGCCTTAAGCCTTGTAATTTTTCTAACATACTGTGTGGCATGAAATGTTTGCGGAAGTTTGCGATTTTTGTGTTTTGCGGGAACAAATTTTGTAATGAGGAGAGATCAGTTTTTCTTGCTGGGAATTGATTTTTGTGATTTCAGAAAATCCCAGACCAATCATTGTTAATATTTTCCTTCTTATTAAGTATGCACAATGGAAATAATTATATACTGTGAAAAAAGTTTCAAACAATGCTACAGTTTGTGAACCCTACACTGTATGTAAAACCAGTATAACAGATTACGGTAACATCTGGGATGACTGATTGTTCTGATGATCGATTGGAAGAATTTAAGTTGGAAAATATTTACTGTGGAGAAATTTTTTGCAGGAAAAATGTGTGCTGGAAAAATCGCAAAAATTAGAACCCGCAAAAATTTTGTGCCACAAGGTAAAAATGATTAAATGATGTACCATTTTTATAAGCGCCAATAGTGATTGTTACCAAATTTATCCTTATGATACTAGTGCTCATCAATCATTGTTTTAATATTGGGTATTAAATACTTGTGATTAATTTTTTTTGCACTGTGCATAAAATGCCACATCAATGATTTTCTTTTTTTCTGAGAAAAGGAAGCAAACACTTGTGATGTTAACCCACCAGATGGGTCTCACAGTAATCTGTCCTGTCGTGCCGTCATTAATAATTAATATAACTGATTTCTTTTAGGTGAAGCTCCTAACAAAATTTGCACTGCTGACTGACTGTCAGCGACGAGCCAAACAGATGGCTGGTGCACTGACAACAGCTACCACTCAGGTTCTTATAACACTTCAGACTGGTTGTGATGCAAATGTGTTAAGGCAGCAGATCAAACAGTGGACCACAGTGAAACATGGACTGGTGAAAAGTGTGCAAGATGAAAAGAAACAAGCTGAAAGATCAAGGTTTGTTGTGAATTGTTACTACAGCAGTGCTGTAGTAAGGAGTTTTCAGTATTTATGGTCAGCGGTTGTTACCATTTGCTTAGGACTCGCGCTAGTTGCCGCCATGTTCTTGTTTATCACATGTGTGATTTAGGTTTACAATCCATGTAATCCTTCGCTCATCCGTATCGTGTAAGGCAGACTAAGTTGTTATCTGAAGAACTGAAGAGTTAAAGATTATTTGGAGATAAAGGAAAGATCTGACGATTCACGTTTTTCTCTTTTTCTTGTGAATAACAACGAAACTCCTTCGGATGCCAAGTACGACTTTCGAGGGCAGCCACATGAATTTTCGTTAAAAAATTAATTTTGCTTAAAACCAGGCATGCACCACCGGTTGAGAATACATGAAGATGTCATATTTTTATTACAACTGCATGAATCCTTCAGTGAGGTGCCCTTTTCTAAAAAGTATGAGATTCTGTTAGTCCAAATACATTATGTCATGTCTTACCCGTCTTTCTATTTTTCTCTGTTTACCGTAGAACCCTGTGCTGTATTTTAGCAGAACAGAAAGATGCTGAAGATATTGACAGCAGTCAGCTTTGTTTAGTTCTTCAGGAAGAGCTTGCTTCTTACAAGGCAAAGAAGTAAGTTCCCAAAAAGACCGACATCACAAGGTTTCTGGACCTGTTGCAGAAACAGGAAAGAGTTCCTCATTTTAATTGTCCATTTAGCTCTTTCATTACCACGCTAGTACAATCGTGTATGAACCAGATCCTGGAAAGAAATATTACATTCAAACCTGGAAAACCGTTAACACCAGAAATATTTCTGGAATGCTATTGTCTTGCAAGAGAAAAGCCAATCAGGCGTGAGAAAACTAAACCACAAGCAAGAACGTTAGTTAGTTTGTGGTTTTGTGGCCAGTTTGCGTGTCGTGATCTTTGCTGTGATTGGTCATAACACAATAAACATTCTTGAGATATTTCAAGTCTTCACGGTTTTCCCGGTCGCACTGTAAGCTCATGTGAAAGTACAGTGTACAGTGTACATGTGCATGTATTGCTGTCAGGACTGTCACTAAGAGACAGGGACCAGGGATTTCCCCCGGCAACTGTGAGCGTGAGCCCCAACTTCTCTCATAGGAAACAAAAGTAAAATACAATATGTAGAACCAAAAGAATTTCCTAGCTGTACAATTCCCCTCTTACTAATTACATATACCCAACAACTTCAAATTTTAGCAACAGCCCTACATGTACATGTATGCTGATGAGGAGGTTCATAAAAAAGATCTCTTTTATTTCATATACTGTACTCAGTTTCCCAAAAATGTTTGTCCTTTATACATGTGTGTTCAATTGTCATTGGTGGGTGGGGAGGGGAGGGGGGCAATTGAACCCAGGGGTCACTTCATAAGTGGGTAAAGTGTGATTGTCGGGGTGAGTGTTGTCCTGAATATAATGACTGTTGCTGACTCCAACAAAGATGATCCTGGGTTATCCTTTATCCCAATTGTTTTTTGAACAACTCTGCCCAGTATTGTCCACCATTTAGTGGTCTATATTTTCTCTTATTTCTAGTTACGACACCACCATGGAGCAAATTTCTGTCATCAAACAGCTTATGGAGCTGTACATTATCCAAAATGATGAGTTTCATTATGGTTCAGTGATGCTTGAGCTTGGTGTGGCACTGCACAGCCTTGGAGACAGAGATCTTGAGGAGGAGAAGTGAGTCTACTGCTTATGTGTGTTTTGGTTTCGTATGTGGCATTTTGTCTTACATTTATGTACATGTAAATGACTTTAGAATAGCAAAAATATATTAACCTTAAACTTGCTCTTGCTTGATCACAGAGTGTAACTTGTGGTAGAGGAAAAGGGACATTCAACCAGCTGTTTTGTTACAATGTCATCCAGTGTTATTACCTTTAAAATTAGAAGCCAGTCACTCTTAAGTATCAACTGGATTGTGGGCCAAAGAATGTTGATTTTAAATCCTTAGCAAGCTTCTTTGAAACCATTTTTAGTGCACTTACGAACAAGCAAGAACAACTGATTGTAAATGGAAGAGAATTTACAGTACTCTTAGCTGAACTTGGATTTCATTATGGCAGGATTTGTAATAAGGCTGGAAACTCAACAGAAGCCTTGGCTGTGTTTGATAAACTTTTGAAAATTGTAGGAAGTGAAAACCATTGCAAAAAATAATGGACATTTTATACTACAAATACCTTCACAAGTTTGTTGTTGTGTATGTTTAGTCCGGAAAGCAGCCATTTTGTTGAACTCCACTATAAAATCTCAAACTCAAGAATCTCTTCAGCAGATGTTATTTTAAAGTAACCGGCTATTCTCTCAGGTGCTGAAGTGTAGCACATTGCCTTCATCAATGTTAAAACTACTTTTAGACTCCCTGGAGTATTTCAGAATTAATTTACAAAACGAAAGTAGCAAAAAATGTAAGGAAAAATCATCCAATCTTTCATTGAAGACTCTCCCAGGAACAGTTCAATTGCTGCAGTCTTACATCTCAGTGTTATCTTCGCAGTGTGAGCGGCTTAATTCCGAGCTGCTTTAAGCCAAACGTGATGACATGGTGGCACAGCTGAGATAACAGGTTCTAAAGACCACAGAACGGCAACTGACAGTGTTCAGTTTTGTTTTTTGTTCATATCAAGATCAGTGGAAGACTGAAAAAGATGCAAAACTGACAATCAGGGATTCAAGGTCAGAACTGTCACAAAATTAATTAACTACAGTGTAGTTTAACTGGAAAGGATGTAGATGTTGCGGTTCAATTTTTTCCCTGGTTTAAATTTTGTTTTGGGGAAAGTTAATGGATGATAACGAGTGAGAACCAAAGGGAAATAAAATTTAAACCAAGAATAAAATTGAACCACAACAAATACGTTGCAGTTTAATTTACAACATTGATTTCGGATTTTCGGTGGAAGCGGTTGGGGGATAGAGATGTCTACCATGCAAAAAGGTCAAGCCGTTTCGTGGAAATGTCTCAACACTTTCGTCCGTCATTGTCTGAATGCAAAATTTTGTTACTGCACATATGTTGAGCATTGTGTGACAATGATATTGTTTTTTACTTAAATTCAGTAAAGCGGAGTCATGTTTTAGTTTAAATTATTGCTGGTGGGAGTGACATTGACTTAATTACGTCCAAATTGTAGGTCTAACAGGAGTTACCTGATGACGTAACAAAAGGGCTACGATTGTCAGAATAGAAGGCGATATGCTTTTTAAGGGAAAAACAAGACGCCTAAAGTCGTTTCCGTGGGATGCGTTGGTCTATGGAAGCATAATGGCGTTCTATCTGAATTTGGAAAAAATTAGGGAGACTGGAAAGATGTGTCATGTTATGAGCATCGATGAGTACGTTACCTGTATGGGTTGGTTTAATGCTCTCTGATTAACCTGAACAGGAACTATATGTATAAAGATAGATCATATCTTGGTAGTAGGTTGCCACAGGTAACTTTTTCAAAGAGAAATAAACATTGTAGTTTTAGGTTAATGGAACAAAACAAAACAAAACAAAACATCCGCTTGCTTTATCCAGGGTCGAACCCAGGGTTACAAAGTTCGATAAAGTCCAATGTTTTAATCCAAGATGAAAGTTTAATATTCCAAGATGCTCTTGATACGGTTAAAAATTAATTGCAATGTGTTTCCAAGGTCTCAAAGTTAACATAGTTCCAATGATTATCCCTGATTCCAAGGTATAATAAGTTTACTAAGCTCCTGATCCGTGTCCCATCCAGAAGTCCAATCCATGCTGAAAGCGAGTCGTCGATCGACGAGGACAATATTTTCGCGATTTCACCGTCAGTCGTCAAGGGTACGACTTGAAATTTACGCGATTTAACCTCCCATCGTCAAGGTGTTTTCGATAAAAAAGAAAAAAACTGAACTCCGGCTGTGCTTGGCAAAAACTGGCGAACTCCGAATAGAAAAATCTATCGGAAATGACGGCCCGCAACCAGACGCTACTAA